TGTTGTTTCCCTTTTGTGCCCCGGCTGCGATTGGAACTCCAGCGGGCATTCACGATCTTCTTTGGCAAGCTCTTGTCTTGCCATGCCGAATCTTTGCCGGCCCATGAGAGCATCTGCCGCCCAATGTCTTCGGGTTTTTGATTCCATACTGAAAGTTCCTTAGTGGATATCTTTGAGGGTTTAATGATCCTTTTAGGCTAGGCTTTAAGTTTCAAGGTTTAAGTTTCAGGGTTCAGGTTATAGGGTTCAGGGTTTAGGTTTCAGTGTTTCGGGTGCATGTGTTGGGTATATTATATATAAATAGATGTACATGTATATATATATATATATATGTGTTTGTGTGTGTGTGTGTGTGTGTGTGTGTGTGTCTGTGTATACCTAGCCCTAAACCCTACCTAAACCCTAAAAGACTTAAGCCGAAACCACAAAATATGTATATATATACACATATATACATAGAGAGAGATAATGTGTGTATATATATACACATATATATATATATATATATATGCATACATATATATATATATATATATACACATAATGTACTTTTTGCCACAAACACATGCATATATCTATCTATATATCTATCTATCTATATATATATATATATATATTATAACTACACATATACATATACATATACATGTACATATATACATATACATATATATTGTACAAAACAAAAGTCCAAAGTGCAGCTTAAGCTCGCACCTTTCATCCATGCACATGTTGTTGCGGATGTAGGAGATCTGCTTGCACCGATTGCACCGGCGAAGGTAGCCTCGAGGAGGCTCCTGATCGTCATTCTTGCCTGGGGCTGGGCCGTCATTGCCTGTGGTTGGGCCGTCATTGGCTGGGGGCGGCGGTGGGAATTGCCAAGGGTTCGGGAATGGCACGGCCGGAGGCACGCCGGCAGGCGGCATGGGTGGGGGTGGCATGGGGGGAGGTGCGCCTGGCACGCCTCCCTGAGCATTCAGCTGCTCCAATGCTTGGCCCACTTGGCCCACTTGCTGCAGGGTTCGGGACAGATCGTTACCCATGATCGATCGATATGATACACTTATCACCTCCGGTATCGCTGTAAGCCGAAAGCGCTACGGGTGCTTTGATATCATGCAGGAGCTTCTGCTCCTAATGCTCCTGTAGGGGCATGCAGGTACCCAGCAGTGCACGTGCACTCGCATGCAATCACATGCACATATGCATGCCAGCTGTCCTTCCAGTGCAGACTGCACCGAAGAGTCCCATCGTTCAGGAGCCAGTGCATGCATAGACCTGCATGGGCAAATATCCAAACCCAAAACCATCGCAATAATCGCATTAAGTATCGATCTTAAGAGGAGCTGTAAAGCTGCCTGGAACTCAACACGGAGATCCTTTCTGTCGACTGATCGATCAGTTAACCTCTTCTGTGGAACACAAAATCTTTAATGACTTCAACCAGCCTCGAATCATCCGAAAATCTGCTGCACCTCAGGCGACACGAACCTTTGCAGAGCAGTTTCAAGGGTTGTGGGTTAGAGGTTTAGGTGTCATTGTGGTGCAGGGGTTATAAAGGTTTCGGGGTTTAAAGTTTGGGGTTTCAGCGAGTTTTAGACCAAGTTCACGAGCAAGCTCTAGGTTTTGTGGCTTCGGGGTTCAAGCTTTAGGGCTGGGACTCAAAAGGCACCGTCCTAGGCTACAAAACTTGACATTCTTGATAACCTGCCCTATTTAAGTACAACAAAACGTACAAATCCGCAGCAGTGCTATATTTTCTGCCCTCGAGTCACGATCTGGAGCCCGATCCCCAGCACTTTAAAGTGCTTGCAAGCCATATCATCAAAGACCCTGGCCTCTGCACGCTGAGCTCATGGAAGTCAACACTTCATATCGGTTCTCTGCATGTGCATGGGGCTTGGGAAGATCGAGGGTTATATATGCTCGGCCTATATAGGGTTAAAACCAAGACTTGAAACCTTGCTGCACAGGCCCGATCGTCGCTGGACCGTGTTCGCACGATCCAGCCCCCAGAGCTATATTCACATATAGCTGCAACATAAAATGGAACATGAAACATCCTACTGGCCAAGCTGCTGCTTCAAATTTCGAGCAGCAAAAAAGCTGAGACCCTCGCTCTGAATCCGAGTTTGGGCACGAATCGCCCTTTCATGGAAATCTGCAGGGAAGTGCTTCGCACTAAACTCTACTATGAGCTGCTGCCTGCAGGAGGGGGATGGGGTACTGCCGCATTGGCAGGCGGTTACGTAGGCTCGGGCTGGCTCCTTGGCCTTTGTCACCCGCGCACGGTGCAAAGCCACATGCGGCTCAGCTTGCTTGCCCTTCATTCGTTTCACGACCCTTGGGACCAGACCTTGAGCTTTAGGAGCAATAGCTGCATCCTTCGCCTTCGCACTCTTAGCCGGCTTCGGCTTGGAGTTCTTCTTCATGGCCTGTTTAGGCTTCGAAGCCTTCTTAGACTTCTTAGCCTTCTTGGACTTGATGGCCTGAGGGATCTTGCCTGAGCTTGGCAACTCAGACACCACACGCTCGCCATCGCCGAAGACACCGAGTAGGAACCCTTTCTCCGGAGGTGACGTCATGTCTGCCTGCTCAACCCTGCCATCCTTGTGCAAACGAACCAAGACGCCCAATGCATGATCGGTGTGGATGGTGTAGTCCTTGATCGTCACGAGGTCCTTCTCAAGATCCACGACTTCGTCCTTAAGGGCCTGCGGCTCGACGACGACGACGGCATCATCGTCGGAATCATCCACCTTCTTCTGCAAGCCAAAGGCCTCCAAGATATCGTCCGGAGTGTGCTTTGGGGTACCTGTCGGTGACAACGATGCCCTGCGACCCTGCGACGATGCCCTGCGACCCTCCTGGATCGATGTCGAAGAGCAGGAGCCTGGGGCGATCCTTGAACATTCGATTAACTCGACCATGGTCTCGGACATGCGGGAGCCGTCCTTGAGGTTTCGACGTTTGCGGTTTACCAAGCTCATCATGTTTAAGATGCCCTGCCCTTGGTTGCGGGGGGTCCTCTTGTCGTCAAGGAGCTTGTTGCAATGGAGAGTGTTGAATCTCTCCATTGCTTTGCGAGTCTCCTTCGGCAGCAACGTCTTCCCCAACTTGAAGAGCTCCTTAAGCAATCCTGCAAAGTTGCAGCAAGCTAGCTCCACGTTTTGCTCTGGGTACCGAAACAGCCCGTGATTCGCTTCGATCGCCTGTTTGATCGCTGCCGCTGGGCAAGCTTTACACATGGCTTGGGAAATCTCCTCGGACGACATGATCGCTCTACGTACACAGCTATAGCTACAGTTAGCCTATAGATCGAGCCCACCTGCCAGCACGAGCATGCGGGATAGAGCATGCACCTGCATGGATCACTCGAACAATCTCGCCGGAGCTCGCTTCTTCCTGTCTGCCTGCTGCAAAATACAATGCATGCATCTGCTGTACGTACATATATACATATATACATACACACACACACATATATATATATACATACATACATACATACATGCATGCATGCATACATACATACATACATACATACATACATACATGTACATGTACATGTACATGTACATGTACATGTACATGTACATGTACATGTACATGTACATGTACATATATATATATATATACATACGTATATACACACACATATATGTCAGTATGTATGTATGTATGTATGTATGTATGTATGTATATGTATATCAAAAAATATTGTCCATGTATATACTTATACATATTCGACCCCCGCTGATAATTGGACTTGCCCGCTTCCGGATCGCAGTCTCCTTTTGCCCGCTGCCGGGAGCAGCAGCTTCAAAATCGGCGCTGTTAACCTCCATCAGCCGCTGATTAATCCTATCAGCCGCTGATGCTATGTTTTTGATCATTCAAACAGATCTATCAGCCGCTGATACATCCAGCAGCTTCAAAATCGACGCTTCGGGATGCTCTGGGAGCCTGCAAAAGCGCAGGCCGTCGCGAGTAGCAACTCCGCGCGGCGCGAAGCTACCTAACTCACTACAGCCGTGCACACTTGGCACTGCTTAGATAGCAAAGCACTTGAGCCAAAAGCATTTGTTTGGCATAAACCTTCAATTAAACACAACATGCAAGAAAGCTACAAAGCAGCCTGCAGAGACAAGTGCACTGGTACACGTATGTGCACTCACAATTCGCCCCTCAGCCGAGGCTCCTCTGTGCAGTCGCACACAAGGTGGGGAGGGCGCGTTCGCGGCTTTAACCAAGCCCACGAAAGGCCAGCGGAAGGGCGGAGCCCACGCAGCACGCGAACGGACGAACGGTCAGCCCTCCTACAACCACCTAAACCCTGCCAAGCCGTGGCGCTCGGGTCTTCGTTTTGCACTGGGAGGTGAGGCTTCCGAAGAAGCTGTCTCTGCAGTCAAGCTGCTACTGTACAAGTACGGTACACTACGGCTACGGCTACCTGAGCTACCTAAGCTACGTGGCAAAGTCCCGCCAGCTACAGCTAACTACGCTCAGACAGCCGCGCCCGAAAAAGGGCCGCGAGCTGCGCGCACTTACGGCGCGAGGCTGCGACCGAACAAGGTCCGCACGCCTACCTCTACCAAGGAGACGGCTATGGCTGCCGCTCACGAGGCGCCGGCAGGCGCGACACCGAAGTGTCCAGCGACCCTACTATTAGTCACGGCGGCCTGTCTCACCAGGCGGGCCGCGACCAATTAAGGTCCGCGTGCCGAACGCACAAGGTAACAGCACAGTCGTGCCGCACACAGGTGCCGGCTGGCACAGCAAGCTATGAGAAGGCGGGCGCCCGGCATGGGCACCGCGCAGAAAACTGCCGCGAGTGGCGAAGCAACGGCGTAAGCAAAACGCCTGCCACCCTGGCAAATTGATGCCGAGCCTGCCGCAGGCCCCGCTCAAGGCTCTTAAAAAGACGCCGGGCTATGCTCTTAGCCGCGGCAGAAGTGCCCAACTTCGCGCGTGCCGCGCGGAAGCCCGCCGCAAGCACTCTACGCAGCTGCTGGCTCAGCACGCTGCGGCTGCTGTGTCCCGGTGGCGCTGTCAGAACCAGCCGCCTTACCGGGCGGCTTGGCGTCCTCCAGCTTGATGCCAGCCGAGAAGCAGGTGTCAAAGTCGCGAACAAAGTCGCCGACCGACTCGGCATCCTGGAGCAGGGTAAGGTGCACCCCGCACTCCAGGTTAGCCTTCGAGCTCGTGCTCCAGTTGAGGGAGCCAACGACGAGCTCCGCTCCGTCGGAGCGCACGCGAAGAAGAGCCTTCGCGTGGTGGAGCCCCTTCAGTCCCGCGCCCACAGCAGGGCCGCGGCCGTCTGCGACGTAGGCGTCGCGGACGGAGGACCCGCTGCAGAGGCGCACGCGGGCCCCTGCTTGAGCAGCGCGTTTAAGCGCCTGCCACTGCAGCTTCGTGCGTCTGCACTGCGAGGAGTCCGCTATGATGTTACACAGCGCTCCTCGGCCGCACGCCAGCTCGATCGCCTCGATCACCGACGGCGAGTCAAAGCTATAGGCCCTGAGATACAGCTTCTCTCGTCGGGCCTTGGCGCGACTGATCACGTCCGCGCCTGCGGCGATGTACCATCCGCCAGCAAGGTATACTGGCAACCAGTAACGCCAGACGCCGCCTGCGCACTGCTACGGCTGGGCGTCTTGTTGCGACGGTTGACAACCTTGCTGACGGGCGCTGCCTTCGCAGCCGCCACCGCCGCGCGAGCTTGCGCGGGGTGGAGGGAGGCCGGGGAGGCCTCGTCGACTCGGCGCCTTGTTGCGGCCGCCCCTCCGCGCCGACCGCCACCGACGCAGGGTCCGTCTCTTCCTTAAGGGCCCGGACTAACGGGATACCGTAAGTAAGAAACGTCCCGTCCAGGAGGCGAATCCTATCGCCCTCCTGAAGGAGCGGAAGCACCGCGTGGCCACTCTTCCTTTCGAAGCGTGCTCTGGCTACTGTCGTCATTTCGAAAAAGTAGCCGTCGCGGCTCAACCGCGGGCAGCCGCCGGCCGTGCTCCGCCGCACGGTGAAGGTGCCAGCGGGGCACCGTCGGCAAAACCTCGTCGCAGAGGTCGCACTTGTACGACCCATCTGCGTCGGGCTCAGGCACGATGGGCGGGGCGAGCGGGCGAGCTCCGCCACCCGAACCCGCGCTGTCAACGCCCATCGCGTCGTCTGCTGTGGCGGCGCGCCATAAAGGCGTCCACGTCCGCTGCGTGTGCGTCGTACGCCAGTCGCAGGGGCGCTGGAAACAGCCGCCCACCTACTCCAGATGCTGCTGCGGTACGTGCAAGGTACGCATCCGCTGCATCGAGTAAGTCTTGAGCCCCATGCACTGAGAGTCGAGAGAAAGGCTCGCGACTCGCGAGCGTAGGCCTCGAGAGTCGCCGTAGTGAAACCCGAGACCCCCTTCACGGCCTTCGCTCTCGTCTGGGCTTTCTCAAGAAGCGCCTCAGCCTTCCCGAGCTCGGCGCCAACCCTGGCCTCGCCTCCGCGCTCCTCCGGAGGCGCGGGGCTAGCGCGGCTCTCCTCTTCGGAGTGCTCTGGCTTGGACTCCTTAGCGCGCCTCGCCGGGGCCGCGACCGAGGGCCCAGCTGCAGAAGGTGCGCGAGTGTCCGGGAGCTCGCTCGAGGAAGAGCTGGACTCTTCTTCGTCCTTCTCCTCCGCAGCAGCAGCGGCAGGAGTCTTGGCCGGGTCCGTGCTGGACCCCGGCTGCCCACCGCCGGCGACGCGAGCGTCCGCCTGGCTAGTCAGGCTCTGCTCCTCTGCCACTGCGGCCGCAGCCTCGGCATAGAGGTCGTGAATCACGACCAGCTCTGCCCCGTTCCTGTCCCTGCGGATGTCCGCCAAGCGTCCGGCGCTGTCAGCCGCCAGGCCGCCATGATCCTATAGATACTGGTAGGCGCGACAGGCCCAGTGAGAAGGGTGCCCTCCGCGCCCTTGAAGAGCGGGACCCCATCGCTGTGCAGGACCTGCACAACCGCGTTGGAGCCCTTACGAAAGCCCCTCTGCTCCGACCATTGTGCCGGCATGTCGTCCAGCACAATATCTGCTCCACGAGGTGGCAGTCTGTGCCATGGTAGGCATACTGCCCCGCCTGGCCCACGAGCTCGTTCACCTGATCGCTGCTCAGGGCCGGGCTCATGTAGTCCAGGTCGTGGCCACAGTCTTCGCTGTGGCCCTGGTAAGCGCGTAGGAAGCCCCACCGCGACTGGTCGATCCGCTTCTTTCGACCGCGGGCGTCCTCCTCGAGCGCATCGCCAAGCTCCGCGAGAGAGCACCGGAGCCTGGCGTATGTCGCTCTTCGCCAAGAAGCCGCCCAGTTCAAACTGGAAGCCGAAGGACCCGTGGCGAAGGGCCCGGACGGCCGGTCTGGGCGCCACTCCGCGGGGCCGCCGCAGAGCCAGTGCCTCCAGTACCGCCGCCGGTTCCGGCGTTGGCGGATCTCCGAAGACCCCGCACGGGAACCCGCGCCATTGGAGTGGCCGCGGCCGTCACGCTGTGGGGCGCGACCTCGGTCGCCTTTGGCCCACTGCGTGAAGCCACCCATCAGGTCCGGGCGACCAAGCAGCGGTCCGCCACGGGACCTTGGCAAAGGAAAACAGGAAGAGCAGGGGCGGGCGTCGCGACACCCGTTCACTACAAGCACAGTTGAGAGGAAGTGCTGCGGCGACAGGGGGAAGCAAGGCACTCGCACTGACAGAGCTACCCTACACTCCTCCCTGCACCTCACAACCTGCAGTGGCCTTCCAGACCTACACAAAACACTGCTGCAGCACTCACGTTTTAACGACCCTAACGAAAACGACGAAACGAGCAGCAAGGCGAAAGGCGTACTGTGAGACCTGCCCCGCGCGTCCAACACGAACACCGCGAACAGCCCACGCGCAACCCGCCCGAACCAACCCCTAAACCCACAACCCCGAAACTCTCCGGATTCGGCACCCTCCCGCGGGGACCCGCCCGGAAAAGCCCGGGTGGGGTGGTTGGTGTCCGCGCGCGCCGCGTCATGGTGCGCGCGCTTATCCCTTTCGGGGGCAGGAGGCGCCGCGGAATCAGCCGCGCGCGTGGTCTCCTTCGGGTTGGCGTTGAAGCCGAGGGCTTCCATGGCCGACTCCGCGCTCTGGGGAGCCGCGCGAGAACCCTTAGCACAGGCCTCGCATATCGCTCGGTCCGTGTAGAACTTCCCATCCACCACACGACCGGTGCGGACGGCGGTCAGATCGCGATCCACTCCTTCGTGTACCGCAGGCGACGCCCACGGCCCGGGGCGTACGCCCGGTCTACGACGAAGTTAAAGTCGTCCGGCCCGTTAACGGGCCCGAACGTCAGCCCTACGGGAAGGTATTTCCCCGAGCGGGTTACGACAGCGAGAACTTCCCGCGCCCGCTTCGTGTTGCGGATCTGGTTAAACCCGCTAACGGCGTCAACAAACGTGTACCACACGCTGCCGACCGCCGCGGCGAGTACGTCGGTACTTTGGCGGGTTTTTGCTTTGGTCAGTTATAACTCGAGATATACTGGACTTGTTAAGTCGAGTTATCTCGGACTTATAAGTGGAGTTTTGGTGGACTTATAAGTCGGACTTATAAGTGACTTATAACTCCGAAATTGGGGATTTAGCGAGCACACATTTCGGGGTTTAGCGAGCACCATTTTGCGATCATGAGGGGTGCAAAAACTCGTCACGAGAAGATCATTTTGAGGTATATAGGCGGTCAGAAAATGGGTTTGGTGAGCACCATTTTGGGATCATGAGGGTCGCAAAAACTCGTCACGAGAAAACCATTTTGAGGTATATAGGTGGTCAGAAAATGCGTTTCGCGAGCACCATTTTGCGATCATGAGGGGTGCAAAAATTCATCACGAGCAAAGCATTTTGAGGTACTGCGGCGGTCCAAAAAATCATGTAGAGGTGAAAAAAACAGTGTTCAGAATGCCAAAATCTGCCAGCATTCAAATTATATTGTATGACAAACGGCCACGCAGGGAAAGCCTGTAACAGATTATGTACAGGGTTGAACATGCATTTAGGGCTGGGGGTTAAACCAACTCCGTTCTACAATCTTTTTTCTTCTGCGTGCGGTTCCCCGTCGCACATGCTCTTTAAAGACTGCCGGGCGAAGCCACTGCCAAATGCGGAAGCGCACGCAGAGGGCGAGGCCGCCGGTAGACCTACATGCAAGATGCAGGGCGAGGCCACTGACATCTAGAGCTCGCTCACGTAGGCGCTGAGCCGCTGCCAAGAAGCTTTTGGGTTGTCCGAAAACTTGAACGATTTGTCCTTCTTGTCGCCCCAGATCTGGACCCTCCACGCATTCGTGGTCGTATCCGTGTAGATCTTGCAGGTCTGCAACCACACCGGCGGCTTCTTTGCCGTGCCCGGGTACTTGGGCAAAGCTGTCAGCACCTTCTTCCCCTTGCCCTTGCCTTTGCCTTTCCCATGGGCTGCAGCTGCAGCTGCCTGGCCGGCGCCCTTTCCTCCGGCAGGCTTTGTTTTGGCAGGTGTGCCCTTCGCCGGCTTCGACGGCTTGGGCGAAGGAGTCGTCTCGGACTCCTTTTCAGCCTTTGCTTTGGCAGGTGTGCTGCTTGGATTTCCCTTGTTGGCCGCGAGCTGGTCCTGGAGTTTGGAGACCATCTCGTCGACACTGCGCCGGGCCTTAGGCTCGGCAGGCGTTTTCAAGGGCGAAGCCTCTTCGTCCTCCTCCAAGTCCTCTGCTTGCTGTTCCTCGTCCTTCTCCGCCACCTTGTCCTTGTCTTTCAAAGCCAGCTGCTTGCTTGGGAGCTGGAGCTCAAGCGGCACGGAGGCTTCTCCGTCCTCCAACATCTTCCGCTTCTTCGTCATAGCGAAATTTCGCAGGCCAGGGACGCCGTTCCCTTCCATGGCATTCATCAAGAGGTTGCCAAGGTGCCCTAACAGGGCACCGTGCATGTTCTCCTGAAGGCACCTGTCCTTTTTGCCGAGCTGCTGCCCAAAGCCCTTTTGCTGCACACTGTTGTGCGTGCTCCTCGCAGCAAGGGCTTTGGTAAGCCCGTGCAAGGCCGGCAAGTCCATGGGACAAGCTGCCGGCGCTTGTTCCCCGTAGGCCGCCCTGAAGAGATCACTCGGGAGATCTCTCGCACTCTCCGGGTAGTCCTTGAGCCCACTGAACTTGGACTTGTCGAACGAAGACCTGCACAGGTCCTTCAGCTCCTGCAGCAGGTCTAAGGCCGTAACAAAATTCACATTCAGATGCTCCGGAGCACCATCGTGGCTGCCAAGCAGCAAGATGGCAGTGGCCTGCTTGAAGATTGCCTCCCTCGGATACACCAAGCCCAGGAGCTGTAGCCTGTTGGCCACCACCCTTTGCTTGCTCCTCGCGGAGGCTCTCGGGTTCATGATGGCATCCCACTCCGCTGGCACCAGGAAGTTGTAGAAAAAACGATGCTGTTGCATCTTTTGGTTGCCCTTGAGCTCCCGCGTGGTGGCGGAACTCTCGGCGGAACCCGTCGCCTCGATTTTTCCTCCAAACATCGCACGATGTCCTGCTTAAAGCCATCCGGCACATCTGCCGCGGACACCTTCTCCATGGCACGTGTGGCTTCTTGAAAGCTCACTGCTCCAGGCAGCTCCTCCAGCTGCTGCAGCAGTTTCTTTTCCATCTTCTCTGCACGGCCCTCGTCCATGCCAGGCGATTTCCGGAGCATCGCCACAAAGTCCAGCATGTCTCGCACATGCTTTTCGGCCATGGATGGAGCACCGATCCACGGCTGATGAGGCGATGCCTTCATGCAGCGAGAGCAAAACCTGACTTTGAGCCAACGGTTGCATCACACCATGCTGTGGCTTCCTGACAAGCAGCACGAAGTTATAGTTTATGCGTCGTAGTAGTAGTAGTAGTAGTAGTAGTAGTAGTAGTAGTAGTAGTAGTAATAGTACCTGGGAAAAGTCAATGTGTCTCTAAGCTATTGATTTCGTAGCAAAATACATAGTGCAACCGGTTGCGTTTTGCATTTTTTCAGCATAACCACATGCCTGTCTACAGAGGCAGTAGTACTAGCAGTAATAGTATAGTACTAGAAGTAGAAGTAGCAGTAGTAGCAGCAGAAGCAACAAATTAGCTGGGAAAAGTCAATGTGTCTCTAAGCTATTGATTTCGTAGCAAAATACATAGTGCAGCCGGTTGCGCTTTGCATTTTTTCAGCATAAGCACATGCCTGTCTACAGAGGCTACAGTGTCCAAGGCTTCAACAATCAACTGCGAAACTAGTTTCTGCAGTGTTGCCGCGATTTGTATGCAAGACTTTGTACTTTGTCTTGCATTAACTGGAACCCATTAAGGGTCCGATTTCTGGGATCTGGCTCTACGCAGACTCCTATTCCGGGCATGCTGCAGGCGAAGCCTTGCAGCATGCCAAACTACTGCAGGCAGAGCCTTGCAAACCCGTAGCCTGCTCAGTCCAGCTCGTTGAGGAAAAGCTCTTGCGGTCCTTGGTGCTGCAGGCCTTGGTCCTGCAGAGCAGCTGCTGGGCTTGCGGGCTCTTCCGGCCCTTGGTCCTCCTGCCCTTGGTCCTGCAGTGCGGGATCTGAAGACTTCATTGGGCATCTATAGGTTACCAATGACATTTACCCAACGGCTTTCGCAGCTCCTCATCTCTTTCACAGCAATGCTCTTGTGTTTGCGATAGGCTGGTCTCACGACATCCGGATCGCACTGTGCTTCATTGGCAATGGCGAAAGAAATCAAGCCACATATTCTCATTGAGGATGGGAGTGGAACCCTGCATCCCTCGATCTTCTCCAGCCAAGCATAAGCCACAGCCAGAACACCGTGAACCACGGACATCTTGAGCCCTGTCCTTGCAGCCATAGCCTTCAAAACATCGAGCTCCCCCGCCAAAGCCTGGAAAAAAAACTGATAATCAGCAGCAGCAGCAGAAGACTGTACTGGCATTGCTTGCCACCGGAAGAGATGGGTCATCTGCACAGAAGTCTTCTTCCGGAGCCTGAAATGAGGCACCTTCCGGTTGTGCTTGCCGATTCTGTTGCCCGGATCGCATTTCTTGCAGACATTAGCTGGGGGTCGGCGATAAGTTAGTCGAGGGCAGCTTTTGCATTTCCAGCCAGCCATGGCAGCAAAGATTTTCTACAGCTGCATTGGCTTTGGGATTGCGTTGGTACGATGCCTCTTTTTGTGATGGCCAAATCGGAAACCCCGAAGGAGAGATGGTAGGCCAAAGCCTGCAACAATGCTTTAGCTAGGCATGCTGAGCTACAGATTAGAATCCAACTCCGATTGATGCCCAGAACCCAAAGTGCAGCAGGTTGTGCATCGAGTTCTTCCATGCACAGAAACAGGTAAGCTTGTTTGTTTCCCAGACTGGATGGAGCACCGATCCACGGCTGATGAGGCGATGCCCTCATGCAGCGAGAGCAAAACCTGACTTTGAGCCAACGGTTGCATCACACCATGCTGTGGCTTCCTGACAAGCAGCACGAAGTTATAGTTTATGCGTAGTAGTAGTAGTAGTAGTAGTAGTAGTACCTGGGAAAAGTCAATGTGTCTCTAAGCTATTGATTTCGTAGCAAAATACATAGTGCAACCGG